TGGTTTCTTCATGTTATAAAACAGTTTTATAATTCACTGCATGGAGTTCTCTGCTGTTTAGGCTAATCTGTATACAATAGCAATGCAGAGGAAAACAGAAAAATAAGTTAAGCAATTTTCTTGTCTGTGAAAACAGATGAGATGTGAAATTCTTCAATCGTCAAGGTTTGCTGGTTTTGAGCTCACACACAGCCAAGCCCATAGAGTGCCATCTGACTTCCCAGAAAATGCATCTTAGAGCCCTTTAAAGACAGCAAGAAAACATACTTCTCTGCAAAAATGGAGGTTGTCTGTTTGTGAATAGGAAGGTTTAAGGAAAGGAAAAAATATGGTAAATTGAAATGTGAAGTATTAACAAAACTGCTGAAATATGAAATAAGCAAAGAGAAATTAAATGCAGTGAAAATGTGTGACAGAACTGTTCCTACCATCTATTCTATTTTACTTTCTATTTACAGCAATTTGCAATAAATTAGGCTATTCCAAAAATTCAGGCTTTTAAATCTGTGTTATACCCATTTTCTGAAATTAGCGATGATTTCTGTAGCTGCTTTCTCCTTCCCTTCCAATGGGTCTCAGTGGGATATCAAATACCTCAGTCCCTCCAATGGAGCAGGAGCCTCTGCTCCTGCGTTGGGTGCATTGGGAAGGATGTATGTGAAAGTTTGCATAGCCATTGCCCGTACTGTGCTTTTCCTGAATAATGCTGGGAAGGGTACATTGCCTCTGGTGTTCTCTGGCCTGTTCATTCCATAAGCTCTTATTAAAGAGCAGAAACAAGAACAAAAAACCCCAAACCATGGTGAATAGCATAGCAGTAATCTTAGGTAAGTAATGATACATTCTTGGGCTAAAAATAGTTTCCTTTGTTACTCCCTGACTTGAAATTGTAATGTAGTGTACCGTACCAACGATTTGTAAACTCTTATCCTGGTACATAAACCTATACTCACTTCACAGTTTGGTTTGTTTGCCTCACTCAGGCTGTGCTGCACTGTTTGTTTTACCAAGATATTTGTGGCTGCTTTCCCACTTGGTCGCACATCATTCTGTCTTTGAGCTGGGCTTACTGGGCAGGTGCTGGCAGGCTGCGCTGCAGGGCGTGCTGTCCTTTTTCTTGGACCCAGG